GCTTGCTCCGTGCACCTGCTATTGAATAGTTTGCGATGTGGGAAAGAATCCCACATTAGAAAATTAGACGAAACCAAGTGACTTTATTATAATGGCTCATCACTTTACAAATGTATTAGTTTATTAAATGGGCCATTGCATATGGCCCATATAGCCCATATATGTATATTTATATATAAATTAAAGGACTTGAACTTGGACTTGGCTTGAATTAAAAGAGTTAAAATTTCCTTTTATTTATTTTATTTTATTTTCTAAATTAATATAAAATGGTTTAATTATTTTAAATAATTTGACCATTTGTTTTTGTAACCCAACTGTTAGAAAATAATTGTTGAAAGTGGCTTTTCGAATTTATAAGTATACCAATCCGTATAAGGCTTGTTGTCTCCTAGAGATCTTTGTCTTCTTCTTTCCCCGAAATCAGACAAATAACTTTTGAGACAATGTTTTTCACGCCTCAAGCCTTTGGTTTATATTTTCTAACACCTACGTGAGGGGGTGCCCGTTCGTGCCGACACCTGCTCACGTCGAAGAGGAGAGGGAAGGCCAAAGGCTAGTCACTAGAGAGGAGAGGGAAGGTTAGTCATTGGAGAGGAGAGAGAATGTGAAACTGTGAGATTAGAGGTAATTTGGTAATTTAGTATATTATCTGGATTGTTATCAAGACAACCGAACATGTGATAAAAATACTATTACTATAAGAGTAGGATAAGTTTTATCTTACTTACCCTATCAGCCTTTATCTTATCTTTCAAAGCGAATATCCCATGTATCAATCCCTTTAATCATATTCTCTCATCTGCAAAATTGACTTACTATAACTTCTAAATAACTTAATTAAGTTAATTAAGAGCTGCTTTAGCTTACTGTGCCACTGTCAATATGACTTAAGAAGCCTTCGTGCCTCTCACTAGGGATAAAGACGGTTGGATTACGAGGTAAACCCAATTGGTTGGTTCCAATTAATTTTAAAATAAAATTTGTGAACCACTCTTAATTAAAAAATAATATTTGATTTTTTAAATCTTTGTTAAATTTGTTTGTTATGTAATTGAATTAGTCATAGACAAGAAATAAATATAATAAATATATACTTATGTTTATTCTTTACAAAAATTAGATTAAGCACAAGTAGTAGAATTTTTTATATTAAAACTAATCAACCCATAATTTAAGCTAACTAGGTCCATTTAATTTAGTTTTCCCTTTTTTTTTTAATATCTTTGTAGGTATTCTTACATGTTTTACAATGTGATACTAATATTATTTACAGTATTATGACTGTCTCTCTCTAAATATGCGTTTTTATATATTTGAACATAATTTTTCTTTATAAATATAAAAATATATCATTACTTGTATTACATCTGTTAATTTTTTAATATGTTTTTTAATATATAATACTCTAAAAAGGAGTGTGTATGTGTGACATCCTTAAGTGAATCCCACGTCGATAAAACACGGGAGAAATCTTGTTTTATAAGAGACTAGATATTACTATTGAACAATTTGGATTTAAGTATTTTGGACCAGTGATTCAGGCTTAAAAAATTGTTAAGATCGGTAGTCTCAGGTTATTACATAATTTATCATTAAATCAAATGAAAATAATTTTAAAATTTTGGAATTAGAATCTGTTTAAATACTTGATAGAACCACTTATAGATCTAACCTCCAAAATCAGTTCAAATTAATTCTTGATTTACCCGGACCCATTACTCTACTCTACATCAGCATCTCTTTTGTGACAATATTTTAAGCTCATATATATATATATATATATATATATTCATTTTTAAGAAAAAAATATTCGGTTTTTGTTCTGTCAAGAAGTAAAGGTGTAGGATTAACATCTTTTTCCCAAAAAACCCATTATTTATTATTATTTTGTGGATCAGATACGTTTGCGTTTTACACGTTTTTTTAATTTCTTTTAAATCTAAATGTAACTTTGCTCCAAAGCAGCGCTTGAGAGCGAGAACTCGAGCCACCGTCACCTTGTGAACGCACACCATCCATGAGCCGCGAAGAGTAAATTGAAAAAAGCCGCTTAAAAGCTCCTTTTTTCTTTTTCTGTGGGCCAATATTCCGCCATCTTTTCCCCTTCTATTCCAATGTATATAAATTGATTCGATCTTGTCTTCTAGCAGCACAATCCAAACTCCAGCTGTGTAATCAGATCTTCCTCTTCGAATATATTTGAGCTCTCCTCCAACGTTATTCATGGCGTAACTAATTGATTATTAGACATTTAACATTTTTATAGAAATTAATTTTATTAAAAAAGAGTTGAAAAATAGTGATAGTAAAAAAGTATTAAAATATAAAAATTAAGAACATTTACAAGTTGTACCAAAAAATAATAAAAATTGATAAATGAATATTTGCTAAAATAATTGTGTTAATCGCTTATTATGTTAAATATTTGAATTATCTATTCTTTTAATAAGTAATATATGTAGTTATAGACTATATCTTCTTGAGTGGTAAATATAATTTTTACGTTATTAAGATAAAAAAAAATATTAATAATTTATATAAGTTTATAATAATTTTTTTATAATATGTATTAATAATTATCTTTATATAAATTATTAATAATTAAAAAAACAAAATTCTTAATATTTTCCTTTCTAATATAGTTTTGTTTCCAATCTAAAAACAATAATAAAAAATTTGGGGTAGTTTAGGTTTTGTGTTCTTAATTGATAAAGGAAAATGTTGAATTTAATTAATATATTGGAGATATATTTTTCCAATAATATTTTAAATTTTTTACAAATATGCTACCAGTTACAAGAAACAAAAATTTTTAAATGCTTCTAATTTTAGTTATTTTTTTGCTAAAATTTAAATAAATAATTCAAATGTAGGTAATTCAAATAAATAAAAGTACTTATTTTGTGACACCCCAAAGGAGGGAGTCATTGCTGAATCCCAAAAAGGGGGGTGTATGCGTGACACCCCAAAGGGGGTTGTCTATGCGTGACACCCTTAGGCAAATCTCATATCGACAAAATACGGGAGATATTATGGGTTTATAAGAGATTAGAGACTACTACTGAACAACTTGGGGTTAAGCATTTTGGGCCGGTGATTTAGGCTCAACAAGTTGTTAGGACCAGTAGTCTCGAGTCATTATAAAATGGTATCAGAGCCACTCCGCGTGCAACCTTGAACAGTGGTGGGGCAAAACTTAGTAAGGACGTTGAGTCCCAAAGGGAGAGTATATGTGATACTCCACAGGGGAGAGTCTAGCTGAGTCCTAAAGAGTGGGGTGTACATGTGACACCCCAAAGAGGAGTTGTATGTGTGTAACACCCTTCAACAAATCTCACATCAACAAAATACAAGAGAGATCTTGGATTTATAAGAGACTAGAGACTTCTACCGAACAACTTGGGTTTAAGCATTTTGGACCAGTGGTTCAGGCTCAACAAATTGGTAGGGCCAGTAGTCTTAGGTCATTACATATTTTTAGTTAAAAATTAAAAATTATTGAGAAATCGCCCGCACAAACAGGCACATTATTTGGTCTATAAAAAGAATAAATAGTTTTGTGGGATTATCATGAAATCTCATACGATCCAGTAAAATATCCTTTTTAACCCTTCCAATTACTTATTTTTATGGAGGCTACTCTAATTGTCCTTAACAAAAAGCTCGTAATTAAATGTGGGTGGTCGTTCACAAATTTTCAAATTGTTTTTTGCTGCCCCAGATAAAAAAAATTATTTAATTTAGTGACCTCCTGTATCATTAAATTAATTTGATATCATGGCGGTTATAATTATATTTATAATAATGAAAAAAGTTAAAAAAATATTTAATTTGTAAAATATTCTTTCACACGCGTAAAAATATTATGAAATTTATATCACATTAAATTACGAGGAAAAGAAAAAGATGCCGCGGGGTGTAGTAATCTTTTCAATTACGTCATAATATTGTCCTCGATAATAAAAAAAAGTACCTTTGACACGAGTTTAGATAAGAATGATGAATAATTATACTTTATAGGGCCTTGTAATTAAACAAATTATGAACAGTCCCTACAAACATTGTTAATTATAACTTTGAAATAGAAGTGGTACTCGTTGGTATAAAAAATTTCAGCCGTTGAAATTAACATGCCAAGGGAATATTTCCTATACGGCGTCGCAGCAGCCGTATCTAGCAGCTTCTTCATCATTCCACATCGCTTTATTCACAAGGAATGAGGAATTTCTGTCTTTTAAAAATTCTCAAATTAAATAATTAATATTTAAAGCAATTTAATTTTACGATATTTTTCACCTTGAAAAATTATTTCAAGAATTTTTTGGTCTTGAAATTTTTTTTTTGATGCGACAAAAATAATCATTTATTTTTGTAATTTGGTTGCTGATATAAAATATATTTTTTGTTAAAAATTGAATTTTTTCTTATTAATAGTTGAATAATTTAATTAGAATTCTTCTTGAAATGTTAATAAAATATAAAATAACTTTGTTCGGAAAGAACAAAAATAACAAAAGGGTAAAAAAAAAAGTCCATTTTTAGAGTTTTTTTATACTAAAAAACGCTCCACCTCCATAAAAATATTAACTGGGTCCATCTTGATGATTATCTTCTGAAGATGTCTTAAAATTACATTATTCTTACCCTGAAGTCCTGAACATGAAATTTCCCTTTCAAAAACGTCCTTCCGTTTATATATATAAATATGTATGTATTTCGGTATAACTCAATTTACAATTGGGTTGGTCTAATCATCATCTCTGCTGAAAAATGTCAACCAGATTCCGGTAATTTCCGCCGTCCGTACTCCGCAAACGGTTGTCTGACTATATATATATATATAGGCAACACAACAACGAAGCGTGTTATTGTTCTCATGGATGGATAAACACATCTAGAGAGAGACCCAATTACAAACAAGAGGAAGAAGCAAAACTGTCAAAACCAGAGAAAGGTATCAAGAAAGTACAACCAAAAAAGGTCTCCGGAGACCGCCCATGGCAGAGGATTTCCAAGCTGGGGTTTGTGACGGCGGGGCTTGGTGGAGCTCACCTACAAGCTCGCTTGGGTTTTCTCCGTGTTCGACGGCCGTCAATGACGCCATAGGAAGCTTTGGATGGCAAGGTGATGACTTGGTCCAAGCCACGCAGAGGCCTCCTCAGCCGGACTCGGCCAGTGGCCGCGGCGGCTTGATGGGTTCGGACATACCGGTGGTCGGCGGTTGGCTCTCTTCATCATCAGCAGAAACAACAGATTGGAGCCAGCCTCTTTTGTGAGTAAACATATGGCTGATAAACATATATTTTTGTCATACGTAGAGTTTTAATAGACTCCATGGCACTCCTTGACTGCCACTGACATCTGATATCTATCTGTTCTTATCCTCTTAGTGGCTGTGCCGAGATCCAAAAGGTGTGGAGCTTAAAGAGTAGAGAAGAATCAACCATGAGTGAATTCCCACAAACCAATCTCTTACCCGCCAGCTTTCCTATGGACTCTTCAGCTAATTCAAGTTCGCTTCAGACAATATTTGATACTGCAGATTCTCCTTCACAGCATAGTCTATTTCAACACACATCTTTGAACTATCCATCCAAGACAAATAATCTTGGCGAATTTTTTCCTTCTCCAACAAAATTCCCTCCCTTGCTTAGGCCTTCACTGCCAAACAGCAATCCGGTCTGGATTGCCTCCTCATCTGCAGCTCTAAACGGCATCCCCACAAACTTATTTCCTCCAAGGCAATTACAACTTCTCAAGTCAAATTTTGAGAACAAATCCATTTGCTCCAGCCTCGTTTCAAAGGTAAAAATAGCGACATTCAAGTAGAAATATAAAATTTTCAGTACATAAAGGTAGCTTATGTGTTAAGCTTTTAAGCTAAAAAAGTTGAAAGTTAGGAATATCTTGAGTTGAATCTAAAAAGTTACAAAATTCTAACTTATGACTTTTTAGCTTATGTAGCTTAAAACACAACATACAGGGCAAGAAAGAACACCTCTTTAGGTGAGTGTTCGGATTTCAAACTACTTATGAATAATTGTATGGATGTTTGAATTGCAGCTTAACAATGGAGTCCAAGACTTGGGTTCAGCTGGAAAAAGAAGCAGCTATGGGGAACCTCAACCCATGTTCAAAAGGCCGCGAATTGAAACTCCTTCACCATTGCCGACTTTTAAGGTATATATATATCTTCAAACCTTTCCTCTTTCCCATTTTTTTAATTTGATGCAAGTAACTTTGGGGTATGGGGAAGGATATGAATTTCAAACCTTTTTATCAGGTCCGTAAGGAGAAGCTGGGGGACCGTGTGACTGCCCTCCAGCAGTTGGTTTCACCTTTTGGAAAGGTAGGTATTTGGACCTTTCCTCTATATTTACACAAAGTGATGCCCTTTTCACGCCACTTGTGAAATCAGATTAGCCTTATTTTCCACTTCTAATTTTTAGTCTCATTTGTTGTTTCCAGACTGACACTGCGTCAGTTCTTCATGAAGCTATAGAGTACATCAAATTCCTTCATGAGCAAGTCAGTGTAAGTCCTTGTGTCATCTTTCTCCTAGATCAATTAGTAGATATTAATTGAAAGTAAATCCTAATTCCCTAAATGAAAGAAATTAAGGAAAATTCAATTGTGCTCAGATCTTATATTATCTCTCCCTCTTTCTCTCTCTTTCTTTCAGGTTTTAAGTACTCCTTACATGAAAAATGGAGCTCCCATTCAACATCAAGAGGTACTAAATTATATTCAGTTTTTATAAATTAATCGAACAACCTTAAGAAGGATAGGTGTGACATTCTATATCCATATGTATGCAAGGGATAGAACAGTAGTAACATAGAATTTTCGATCTCAATTTCATGATCACCCTATTATAACTTTCTATGTGACAATGCACATTTATTTCTTGGTCGGATATACATGCTATACTATGTCCGTATATATGTAAAATAATGGGTTGAATTATCTTTATATATAGAATTTTCTCTCTCTTTCTGGATCTCTCAAGGATATATACATTCATTTCTTGGTAGGTTTCTGATAAATTGAAGGGCAATGAAAGGCCAAAACAAGATTTGAGAAGCCGGGGACTATGTCTTGTTCCGATTTCAAGCACCTTTCCGGTTGCCAGTGATACTACATCCGATTTCTGGACTCCGACCTTCGGAGGAACCTTCAGGTAGAGAATAACCAAGTAAATTCAAGCAATGCAACCAATTCTACAACCTTAATTGACATCAAATCCACCCAAATTGGGTGACAACTTCACTTCAAACCCCGCGGAAAGGAAAAAGAAAAAGAAAAAGAGAACAAGAGAGAGTTCTTGGACAGTTCACAATGCGGTGTTGAAGAAGCGTCGAAGAAAAGCTAGAAAAAGGAAAGGAAGTGAATTTTCGAGGAAAGACAACCAATGCTGGGGCCAAAGTACAGGAGAAATGATGTAGGGGGTAGTGAATGATTAGGTATTCTTGAAAGATAATGTTGTATTTTGTAACAACCGCTAATTAATTATTGTCTTATATTATAGAAAGATGGGTTAGGAACAGAAACAGGAACAGGTGCTAAATTTAGCAGAATTTAATATATCATTATATAAGATATGTGTATTGTTAGTTGAGCTAAATTTAGCACAAGGTGGGTGGTAAATTAGATTAAGAGGGGTCTTGTTCCCGTTTCTTTTATGTAATGGGTAGGGTCAATATCAGTTTTTATTTGAGAAAAAGGAATTAACAAGAGGGGCAAAAAGGAGAAGAAATAAAGTGATTTTTATTTTTTCATGGAATTTCAAGAGCTGGAAATGAGTGATTGTGAGTGTGTGGAGCTCATTAATTTGGTGGGGAGCTCTTTACCTTTTGCATGTGTTGATATTTTTATTTGTTTGGAATTTGGTGGGTGAAGTACAGGGTGGTCCATTGGTATATATCACTTTCTTAGTGTTTCTATAATCTGATGAATATCCAAATTGCAACACGAGTTTTGGGTGTATGATTTTCGGTTGTACCAAAGCTGATGAAAATAATTTAGCTCTTTTTTAAATTCTGAAATTAGAAATTTTAAAATTTTAAAAATGAAAAGCATAAAAAAGGCGACTACGGTGGTGTTTGGATTGCGAAAATGTTTTTTTATTTCCATTTTATATTTCTATTTTTTGAAAAGGATTTTCATTTTTAAATTTTAAATTTTAAAAATTACATTTTGTTTGTTTTACTATTTCTTATTTTTAGAAAATAAAAACAATAAAGATATATTTGGTTTATCTATTTTTAATTAATTAAAAATATGAACTCAGTTAAACGAAATCAAAATTTTAAAGTTTTCTATAGTGGTTTAAGTGAAAGAATCAAAACCTTTAAAGATGGAATCAAGATATCAAGTATTCAAGGACCAAATTGAAAAATGAGGAAGAGATCAGGGTCTAAAAAATCACAAAATTGCAAAAAAGGTCACCCTTGACCTGACTACAACCTAACTTCAAAAGTTGTTCAATCACCAATATGTCAAAAAAATTTCACTTTGATTTTATATTTTATACTTTGAAGAACAAAACCTTAAACCAATTTAGACATATGATATACTAAACGTTGAAATTTCATAAAATCAAATAAAAAAAATAGAAAAATCTTGGCAATTTTTGATCAGTTTAGGAGGGTTAGGCATTTTTTGATCAGTGATCCACAGTTGTTGATCGTTGATTCGCAATGGATCCGTTGGCTTTGCAACAACTTGAAGGACAACAAATGACACTAGAGACTCTCTCTGCAAATAGAGTTTAACGTCGACTCTACAAATAGAGTACAGTGAACAAGCCCTTTCATAGTCTCTCCCCTTCATGCTTAATACTCCGGTGAACGAGACCCTTTTCACAAAGTTGGCAAATGAGCTCATTTGTCTACTATTTGAAATAGCAACAGTAGAAGACAAATAAAAGATTCAAAAAAAACACTGAAAATAGTTATATTTATAAATTTGTCACTGCATTTTTAATTTGGACAAAAAACATTGAAAACAACTTCTTGTTATTTTCAATTTTCAGCTTAATTTAGAAAATATTTTCAACAAATGAAAATAGAAAACAACTAACCAAATATGTTTTCAACAACGTTTTCTACTTTCAATGAAATTAAAAGTAGAAAAGGGCCAAATCAAACAGACCCACTTTTTTGATATTTTCAAAAATATTGAGTAGCATTTTAAATGAAGAATCCCCGTCCATGCATGGTTCTATGGCTGTCTTAAATCATATTTGTTGTTTCTACTTCCATAAATGCTCTATAAATTTGAACAAGAATAGTATAAACCTATGCATTGAAAGTTTTTAATTTCCATTAAATTATTTATTAGACTCAGATATAAATTAATAGATATAAATTAATAGATATAAATTTTGTAAAATCTTGAGTTGGACTCAGCCATACAAAAGAGTACGTAGTCGGATTCGAATTGCCTTAATTTGATCCATATTTGACCCATTAATAGCTCTACTTTGAACATATTTAACAAAGTGCAATTTTACGGAAAATTGGTACAAATATTTTGGACTTTCTTAGTATTAGTTTCAAAGTATGCGAATAAGAAAATGGAAGAAAAAATTGATAATTTAGATTACAATTCAAAGCCATTTCTGAAAGTGAAATATTTCATGCTTTTCAAAATTTAAGTACATTTTGAAAATAAATCTTTCGCATTAACTCCTCGTGTTTTCGTGATTCTTAATAACAAAGTATTTTTGGAAGCTAAAAACAAAATATTCCTATCATCTTTGCTTAATCTGTGCATCTACACGAGGAAATCCCAATCCAATGAATCCTTTTCTTTACTTATTCTTTTTACCATTTTGAGAGGTTATTGCTTATTCATTTTCATGGAAATCAGTTTGATTTAAAGCTGGGATTTGATTTGATCTCCTGAAATTAACAAGATTAATTTCCTTACATATCTTAAACACATTACCTGAGGAGATATATGTGGATAATCTATTAACTACTATGACAATTCAAATAGATTAGCATAGCACAAAAAGATTATTTAGCATCCGTTTACCTACTCCTCCATATATATTTATACAAAGCTTCAATTATGCTAAGTATTTTAGGAAATGATCTATGATTTGCAATGATTTGATTAAACACATAAAGATAGTAAGAAAAGACAAGCAAAAAGACACATTTGGTAAATCAGAAAACATCATAGTTAATGCATTCATCAACTAGACTTGGCACTGTTTTGTTTCATTTTTATTTCTCCAAGCATCTAAAGATTCAGTCTTCTAATTTAAGTTTCTAAAAGCAATCTAAGTTTAATTTAGACCCCTCTTTACCTTCAACCTACCACATATAAAGAAAAAGAAAATGTACGAGGCCTACGGAGAGCTCAATATTAAAGAATTCACATGAGAAGTGACTAATCAAGAACAAAAGCTACTTTACTAGTTGAAAATTTTCGTCTTTGGTGTCTCTTAACACTTGCTTTGCAATTTTTTTGTGTCTATGAATTGACTGGTTAAGGGTATAATACCTTGGAGCATCCGGGTGGGTCAATCCGTTGGTCCCCCATGCTTTTGTTTACTCCATGGAATTTGATTAAGTTTTCATTTATAAATTGATTAGGGTTTTAGTTCAGTGAAAGAGGAGAAACACACAGAGGATCAGAGGAATACTAAAAGGAAAAGCATCTTGGCATCATTGTGATGTTTAGTAAAGTAATGTGACTTGAAGATGTTTCCATCTAACTTTGTTAGCAGAGCTTTGCTTTCTCTTTTTAGCCAAATAATTGCCAACCCTGCCTTTGTCTTCTGCCAGAAGTTCTTTGCTCTCCATCTCAAAAAGGGCTTTTTCTTTGCCAACTTTGAATCTGATTTCTCTGGCTTTTCGTCCCTCCAAAGGTGATTGAAGGATGTTACAAGGCCTCTGTAGCTCCTTTTTTTTTTTTACCCAGAATTAATAAATGCATTTAAATGGAAAACATCTTTAGCAAATCTTTTTTATTTAAAGGCTTCGTGGGCTATATATTCTTTACCTATACATCTCTTCTTTCTTCGTAAGTGCCTTGGCTAGAAGGGGCAAAAGAATCACCACTATGAAAACTCTTCCTTAGCTCTTAGGTTTAGCTCCCAGAAAAGGTTGGTAACGTAATTTTATTGAGGTTTGTAACAAGCCCAAGTGTTAATCCCTCAAATGCTTGCCTCTCATTGGTTGGTTGCACTGCAAAAGCCCAACTGGCTTTTGGCTTTCATCTGGCCCAAGTTGGTTGCACAGCAAAAGCTCAATACTGTTGATTTTTTTTTTTTTTTTGGTGACTCCAGACTTCTGTATGTGGTTGATGGAAAATTCATTAGCTTCTAGCATGATAAATAAATTCCTATTTGTGAAAGATCTAATTTCACCAAGAAGTAGTGGTCGAGCTGTTAAACAACTTTTATCATGGTTAAGGACAAAAATGTAAATTCAATTCCTTGGAAGTATCCTTAATAAGAAAAGTTTAAATTTTTTACACTCTCAGCTAAAAATAGACCAACTTCGAGTTAAAATTGGTAGAAGGATAACCTTACTTTCAAAAAAAAAAAAAAAATGGTTTTAATCCCTCAAATGCTTGGGCTCTCGTTGGTATCTCCTGGTCTCTGACATCGATGAATGGCCGTTGGAAAAGTCATTCCATCAGAGCTTGCTTTAAGGAAGTTATAGTTCGAGCTATTCTTTGTATTCCTTCGTGCAGGTTCAACACTACTGATTTACTGGTGGGGCACTGGACCAATAATGGCTTATTCACTGCTAGCTCAGGGAATTGTTTGGTTTTGAACATTTAAAGGAACCTTCCAATCAGTTTCTTCTTGTGCTGGGACGGGCTTCCAACCAGTTTCGTGTGCCTCATCCTCCTAGCGCCCCTCTTGTCATATATGGAACGCCATCTGGACACGCGGATACAGCCTAATATCCCTTACTATTTAGCAGAGAGTTTGCACCAATTCCTTGGGTACAAAGGAGAACCGTTTTTCCAGGAAAATGCTCTCCGTCTCCTCTCTGCCCTGTTTGTTGCGGTCATGTAGAATCAGTCGAGCACATGTTCTTAAGGTGTATCAAAGGCTAGAGATTTTGGTTTGCTTGTGATTTCTCTTTCAAACCTATGCCATTTCTACTAGGTCGTATCTCGAGATGGTCTGACGAGGTTTTGGGCTTGTTGGATGATAAGATATCAACTGTTTCCCTGCTGGCAATGATTGCGAATTTTGGTTGGGCTATATACTTGTCAAAGCCAAGGCTACTTGGTCAGAATTCCTAATCGCAGCCCAGTCCTCCGCCTTGGACCGGACTAGAGGCTCTAACCTCTCTCTGAATCTTCTGTGATCAGCCAAGTTCTGATCTTTAAATCCTGGGACTGGGTCGGGTTGCTTCCGCTGTTGTTGCTGTGAGCCGGGTTTCTCGGGGGGATGTTCTAGCGTATTCAAGGAGGATTCGTCCTCATGTCCGGAAGATTTGGCCTTAAAGTTTGCTTGTCTCTGCTAGCCGTTCTGGTTCGGCTGCTTCTATCCTCAATGACAACAAAGCCCTGTTGGAGGCTTTAGCCTCGAACGTTTATCCCTAATGGCGACCATTTGTAAAGACATGTCTGTTCTTGACTGCAATCGTTCCTTTATGTGGGTTCGAAGATCTTCCAAGGGGTGAGGTTGGGACTCAAGCTAATATACGAGGCTGTTTTGATACTACAGAAGTAGGAGGCTCAAGTAGCAATAGAGTAATTACAATTCCTTAATTGTTATTTTTAAAATTCAGATTTTTCTTAAGTTAAAATTCTATCTTTTTGGCTTGTAATGCCCATATTTTTTAAATATAAATAAACTAATTGCTAAAAAAAAATAGAACGATAAGCCAATCTTGATTGAATCATGAAAAGCCGAAATTAAAATGCCTACACAAATTTATGAAATACCAAACATGGCCCTTGTGCAGCACTCTACAAGTGGTTGCATGTATTGTAGGCTTTTTGAACTAAAAAGTACAAAAGTTTTTGTAAACCAAAATCCCTGGATCAGGGCTTTTCCAGAAGCCATTAAAAGTAAAAGCTTTTGTGACAATTGGGAGAAAAGACAACCAAAAAGAAGGGTTTTTATCTGAACTGACTTTCGTAGGAAGGCTTTGCTTTCGTATGAATTGGATCATTAGACCAGAGAGAGTTAATTAACTTCCAAAACAGAAAGTGGATAACAAAGGAATAACCATAATCAAACTATCATTAGTACAGATAGGGAAAACAAGTACAACGAAGTAACCTAATTAACATTTTTATTCTAATGATGATTCCACATTTATTTGTCTGGGCACAAATTTTATTGGAAAAAAAAAACAATATATAAATACCAAGCAGTACTGCAAGTACAGAAATTAAACAAAAACATCAAGCAGGTGTCTTAAGTTTTTTGGTAATGCCGGCAATGTACTTCCCCTGGTGGAAAGCCTGCTCAAGTTCAAGCTCTGAGGGCTGTCTCGAGCCATCCCCGGCATAAGTCCCGGCACCATAGGGGCTACCACCCTTCAACTGCTCCATCTCAAACATGCCAGCTCCAAATGTGTATCCAATTGGCACAAAGATCATTCCGTGGTGAGTTAGCTGGGTGATTGCTGTCAAGCTGCGAGGTCAAGAAAGTTTCATCAGATCAGGCCATACATTGGTTAGTCATACCATAGAACAGAATGTTTCCAAGAACTGTGTTTTGATTTTAAGAAAAGAGAAAGGTAAAATTTTCCCTAGAAATTTCCAATTTTCAGCTTCCAGACTTATCCTAGAAAAATATGACTTTTCTTTGTTTCTATCAGTTAGTCATAAGATAGAAAAAAAGGTCTTTGAAAACTACCTCCTGTATTTGAGGACAGAAAAGACAAAAGGAAAACGGTTAGTGACTGCTATAAACCCAAGTTCTTATGAATGTTCTTCCAAATTAGGCCTTTCTTCATTTCTATTTTGTTAGACATACTGTAGAACAGAATGTTTCTATAAACTGTTACTCTGTTACAATGGATTAAGCATTCTTTGTATCCATTGGTTATTAATACAACAGGATAGGGTGTTCCAAAAAACTATACTCTACTTTGCAGAATGGGACAAGGGAAAGAGAGATTGCTGTCAAGCTGTGGGGTTAAGGAAAGATTTGTCATTATATTAGGCCTTCTTTTGGTCCATCTTTTAGTCACGTGATGGACCAGAATATTTTGGAATACTCTTTAATGTTTCTATTTGGGACTTACGCTGTGGTCTCCTGGCCGCCTCCTTGAGAGCCTGTACTGAAGAAGATGCCAGCAGGCTTCCCTGCGAGCCCCTGGGTCCTCCAGAGCCCACCTGTGGAATCAAAAAAGGCCTTGAACTGTGCAGCCATCATGCCATATCTGGTGGGAAAGCCAAAGATGAGCCCATCTGCCTCAGCGAGCTCATTGGGGGTAATGATTGGTGCATCACCCTTAGGTGGAGCACCCATCTTGGCGAGCACCTCGTCTGGTAGTGTCTCAGGCACCTGTTCCATCAAGCCACCCAATGTCTTTGAAAACAGTTCTTTGTTTTTAGAAACAGAAAACCTCTCTGAGAAGGTTATTTTTGAAAACTTATTTCAAAAGAATTTTCAGAAAAGTTGTTTCCAAGGTCTCACAAACTTTCTCAATTAGACCTACAAATGTGTTTTATTCCAGATTTATGAAAGAGAGAGCCCATTGGCAGGTTGTTCTCAAAACTCTTTGCAAGAATTTTCAGAAAAATAGGCCTATTTTTTAATAAACAACAAAAAATTTGTTTTGTATGTTCTCTGAAACTATTTTCCTTAGACCACCCATTGTTTAGGAAAACAATTTTCTGCTTTATAAGCAAAGGAGCCCATCTGACAGGTTATTTTGGATAATTATATTGAACTTCCAGAAAACCAGATCCATGTTAGACAAAAACTTCTCAATTCCCAGAAACTGTTATCACTTGAAAATGAAAATGGCATGAAACACGAGTTTTCAGGACTGTCTGGCGTTTTCTGTTTTTGAAAACACAGGAAATGAAAACCAAGAACCAAAACAGAATATGAATCCAAACGGAAAAACGATAGTAGATACCTGCCACAATTTTGCCTCCACTCCTTCCACAGATTCAGCCCCTTCCTTTATCTTTTGCGCCAGTCTCGCCACATGCCCATACATTGAGTAGTAACTACATCAATAATAAAGTGTTTTAGAAAACACATTATTCTGGAAAACAAAGTGCACTAAACTGAATCAAGAAAGTGAGATTACGATGAGGTAGTATATTGTAGATAACTTCAAGTTGTAGAATGATAACAAAAAGTGTAGATACATATCACTATCAGTATGACAATAAAAGTATTTCATTGCATCAAGCAAAACCAAGATTTATAAAAACATGTCAATAATTAAAAGAAAAGAAAAGTTAAAATAAAAAAGTATGCCATTGAAACAAACATCTAGCCAGTAGAAACCACGTATGTCGGGACCAGCCCACCAATGCACATTTTCCAAACCACATACCCTTCAATGCCCGTTTCTTTTGCTTTACTGGCCTCAACCTTTGATCTCCCACAGAAGAATATCGAAAATGAATTTCAAAAAAGCAATTTTCAATTCGGATTTTTCATTATAAATCCGGAAAAATTAACGATTTTTCCGGAATTATTTAGTGATGAATCTAAAAACACTTGTGAATCTCTTTTCAAATTCCTGAATCGAATGAAAAATGGAAAAACACATTGTCTCAGAGGAGAAAAATGAGAAAAGGAATGTCGCAAGTCAAAGAATTCTGAAAAACAAGAAAATTAGTTAATTTTGGTCAACGCAACAATTTCATATTTGTTCACACGGGCAATCCCAGGGACATCCCGACTGGGCAAATCTAATGGCTCAAGAAAACAAAAACAAAAACAGAAACAAAAAAACTGCAGATCTTCTCCGAGAAATAAGCCACCACAGCATCTCGTACAGCAAAGAAAAGAAAAGGGTTAAAACTTGTTTCTATTTCTGAGAACAGAGACTGATGAATCACGAGCTGAATGATTGCTTTTAAAGTTCCGTGGTTTGAGAAACTTTTTACCAGATTAGGCCTTCTTCATTTGTCATACCAGAGATTCTATTAGTCATACAAGCTAAAACGAACACACACATATAGAGAAGGGGAGGGGACTGAGAACGATGATATAATTTACAGAAGTAAAGCGACACAAGTCTTTATAGATGAATTGTTAGAAAGTATTAATCATATTTTGGGGTCAAACACATCCAAACTCGAAATAAGAGTTGAGAGAGATCAAGTAAGATAAAACCCAGAAACCCAAAAATGGATTCATCTTGAAATGCAGAATTATGAACAACCAAATTAAGAAAACAGAGCAACCCATCAAAGCAGAGAATTGCATTTCAAAGAAAAAGAAAAAAAACTAGTGCTTTCATGATACACATTCATATATTGGTAGAGATGAAAAGAGAGGGTCATGCTTACACAATATACACTTTGGTCGCCATTGGAGAACTGCCTGAGTGCTCCTCTCTCTCTCTCTCTCTCTCTCTCTCTAGAAGTTCAGTATGGTGAATGAAACGTAGACGTATGAAGAGGGAGGGGAGGCTTGAATCTATTTATAGCGTAGAGAAATAATCTGCGTTTTTGCTTCTATAAATTATTAATTAATCAGCTCCTAATTGACACCTGGCGAATTTTTTTCATTTCAATTTTCTATAAAGTAATAAATAAATTTTGAAAGATTGGATTCACTTCCTGCTTTGGGAGGCCTTAACGCGGAATGGTGGCATGTTATTATCTGCAAAAATATATAAAAAGTGAAAAATAATATACATACATATAAGTAAATTATCAAAGCGAGAAGCCAAGCTTCCCCATTTATTTGGTAAGGGCTTTGTACAACAATATACAGTGGAATTCATTTTCGGCATGTAAATCAAGCTAATATATATATATATATATATATGGTAAAAATAAGGTTATTAATTACTCGGATTTGAATCAAAATAGATATATCTGAATTTAAATTTGATTAACTGTTTTTATATTCAAATTTAATTCAAAATCTTATAAGATTTGTATTTATTAAATTATATCTAAGTCAGATGAATAATCTGAAATCCAATAAAAAATTTGATCTGATAAGAAAATAATATTTTTTTATACTTAAATTAACTATATTTTATTAATCATATAGTTCCTGAATTTTTTATTTTTTTCAATTTAGTTCATATAATTTTGAATTTATTAATATTATATTTATAAGATTATTAAATTAATTAAAAATATTATTAAAATTTGAAATCAGATCTTTGACAAATCATATTTTTTTAATGTTATATCTGATCTACTTATTTTGAATTACAGATATTTATAATCAAATTTAATATATTTAATATTTTAATTAGATTTGAATCACAAATTTCAAATTAAATTTAGATCGAATTCAAATAAAAATATACCATATTAATAGTCCTAGACAAAAATATTTTATACTCCTTCAACTTTTATCTTTATCTTATTTATCTCTATAAACTATCTAATGTACCATTTACTCTCTTAAAATTAATAATGTTAAATTAACTGTTATATTTACTTCTTAAACTCTACTTTTAAATATTAAATTTTTTAAAATATTATTAAAATTTTAAAAATAAAAGTTAATATAATATAATTAATATTAAATATTATTAAATGTATTTAATTGTAGATGTTCAATTAAAATACAGTTATATTTTAAAAAATCAATTTAAACTATTTGTACAACCTAACTAATTAAAAAGCTATCAATTGGAAACAAGTAGTTTGAATTTACTAAAAATTTTCAAGGACCACAAATTCAAATGTAACCACCAAACTAAATCAGATAATTTTACATTTTTTCTATATAATAGTATCAAAAAATTAAGAGCAAAAATTATTTTTGTAAAATAGTCAAATTAATTTTATAAAATTGAGGGTAACTTTTTATTTAAGTTGTACAAATAATCTAAATTATTTTTATAAATTTTAGCCATATTTTAGTTTAATATCTAAAATTAAATATATTGAATATATTTATTATCAATTATAACATATTAATTTTAATTTTATTTTTAAAATTTTGACAATTTTAATAGTATTTTAAAAAATTCAGTATTTAAAAATTGAGAATTAAAAGGGTAGATATAATGATTAATTTAAGGGAATTAGTTTTGAGGGATGAATAGTGCATTAGATAATTGAAAGGGTATATAAGATTGAGAAGAAACTTTAAGTGGCAAACTGTGTGTGTGTGTAAAAATTTAATTAACAGTAGTGTAAATGTACAACACTTATACTAAATTTTATGTCATTGATTTGATCAAATTCAATAGATGAGATTAATTAATATATTGGAAAAATATATAACTGTAAATTAGTACAGTAAAAAATAATTGTAATTAATCTTATATATTAATTTTGATCATATTAATGGTACTAAATTTTGTGTAAGTATCTCATATTTTTACTAATATCAATAAATCCTTTTTCGTGTGTATATTTTATACACTTCCCACAATTATTTTTATTTTCTTTTGAACGAAATCCAATAATAGTTTTGAAATATGGATCATGTATGTGTGTGTGTGTGTGTGTATATTTTGTACACTTCCCACAATTATTTTTATTTTCTTTTGAACAAGATCTAATAATAGTTTTGAAATATGGGTCATGTATGCATCTCCTCCTCGGATAAAGATATCTCTCTTTAAAATTTTGAAATTTATTTTAACATGGTGGTAATTGTGGTAAAAATTAATTAAATTGAGACTTTGTTCTAATAATTTTAATTTTTTAAAAAATTAGTTAGATTTATGAAATTATTAAAAATAAATAAATATTTTAGGGTAACATGCCATTTAATAGGCACTGCGTCCACGTCCTACCTATCTTACCTATTGCATCTGCGAACGTGCTGTCACAAAATCCACTAGAAACGTGCAATGGTGGCGAAAACATCTCCATCTTTCGTATGTCGATCAAATTTTCCAATCAAAGCGCACAACAAAATAGACTACAAAGTACCCAAAATTGTTTTTCATAATATGATACAGTAAGTCTTTGGAAATATTTAATTATTTTACAAAAATAATATAATAATTATATTTAAAAAATGATTAATTTTTTTTTAAAATTGAAAAATAAAATAGAACTTATGCAATTGTGGAGACAGCAAACGGTAGAGGATATGGAATTAATTAGGCACTGATAATCCTTTTTTTAAAATAATGTAATTAAATATGTTATAAGTTATCCAACTTGCCCTTCATGTTGTTTAGTGAAATCAAGAGAGATTAAACTTTTAGTCTCGAGGTTTGGCTTCTGCTTAATTAAATAAGTCAAATATCCCCACTAACTTGCTTGGCCTGACAGTTATCTCCATGTGCCAAGCCAATATAAATATAAATATAAATAACAACCCACTTCCTGGTTTCTCTATAGGTTTTCTTT